CGTGTCCCCCCCTCCCCAGCCTTCTTGCAAATCCTCAGGACCCACCCAAACTCAGCTGCAGAAGGCCAGCGATGGAGCAGACCAGAGCACTGCTGGGTGTCTGTGGGCCCTCTGCAGCTACCTCCCTCATCTCAGGGAGGGATTGCTGGCTGTACCAGCCCAGCAGGAGACCACCACAATCCACGTCATCAGAGACACAGATTCAGCTTTGACACAGCAAGAGACTGCCACTCCCAAAGTAGGAAAAACCCCCAGCTGTCATTATGGTGTTTCTAAACATGCCCGGATCAGCTTTTGGAAATTTCCTGTTGTCATTCTAGCAGACAGATAATATTTCTTGTTCTTTTCTCTAAAATGAGATCAAAGTCTTTGTTTGCTGGGAGAAGGCTGGAAAGAGGAAGTCATTCTCTTAGACCTGAATCTATCTCTGTCTCTGCAGGCCATGCCACAGTGGTACAGACTGTATTTCTCTCCTGGTTAACTCACAACTTAGTGCTGCATTTCTGTTTTCTAGAGTATACTTCAAATAAAACTTCAATCATAAGATTGAAGGTAATGCATTAGAATTGACTCATTCAGCAGGTCACTGAACTACAAGCAGTTATGAAAAGGAAATGAATGTCCAAGTAAAACCAAAATAGAGAACCAAACAGAGGAATGTGTCCAAAACACATCCTGTTTTTAGACCATCCTGTGTGCCCCTCCTTTCACAGAAACAAATTTTTAATGCGAACTGTGACTCTAAATTCTTCCTCAAGCACCAGAGGCTCCTTGCAGGAAAGACATTTCAGAAGGGACAGCTGGGAGGAAGTGGTGAAGGAGGGTGGCACTTGAGAAGTCCTGTTTTTTTTCTTAGTCATGCTTTATACTTTGTGACTTTTTTAAACAAAGAAAAATGTATTTCTCCTTCAGATTCTGAATCAACAGGCTTAACAGATTCTCCCCTTTCCCATCTGCTTGCAAATAAATAACATACATTTGAAAAAGACTTAAAGGTAGTAGGAACAGCTAAGACTCAAGAACTGACTCTGTGCTGGTAAGTGGTTTATGTTCCTAGTTTCACAGGACAGCATGGAGAGGAAAGTATGAGTCAGAGCCTTTCATATTAAATTCCCCATGATATAACAAGAAATACTTCCAAAATACCTCTATCTGTGTGTCATCACCACTCCAGCGCATGAGGAAAAAAATGTCAACATAGCATTACAATGTTACAAGACAGTGGTTGTGATGGCAAGAAGAGAAAACCCAATATAACTGCTTGGAGCACTGCAATACCTGGGTCTATTCCTGCAGATTAATGTAGGGGTCTGGGGTGCGAAGAAAGTATTTTAAAGTTGTGTGCAGTGTCAGCACTGGAGAAGCCATCCCAGCGTTGGAAATATTGTTGTCAGAAAGATATGCCTCCATAAAACTCACATCTTCACTTGCACTCATGGCAAACTTTTAAAATAGTTCTTGTAAATGCATTAGTTCTCTCTTCAAAGAGGATGTGGCTTCACATGCTGCCCATTGTACGTTTTGGAAGACTTTTCATACTAAGCAATTTTCACAAGGTCTGTTTGTGCCACTTACTGGACTTTTAGTGAATTACACTTTTAAATGTTCCAGGCTTGATTAAATTAAATCCAAGTCTTGATGGATTATACTTGTGATTGTTTTTATTGACTTACGGAAAAACCCACTCAACTTCTTACTCAAAGAAATAATGAAAAATGTTTTTATCATCCTCAGTGTTTCCAATATTTTTATTTCTCATAGGTTTTCTAAATTGGTTTGAACACATACATGGTAACTAACAGAAACTCTTCAGCATTTTTCTTTTTGACTGGGGTGGAAAACTGCAGGACAATAGGCACATAGGTACAACTTCACACGATGTGTCATTTAGTATAAAATGACATACAAGTGACAATTTAGTCAGCATCTAATATAAAAGTAGATGGGACTTCTAGATTCCCGTTATTATGTGAAAATAACTGTGTCATGTATCAATCTCTTAGAGGGGAAAAAGCGCAGGTTTTTTGCAAAGAGAACTGCACTCATATTAAGACCCTTTCTCCGTGCTTACCCAGTTTTTGAAGGCCCGTGCGGGAGCACTGTGGGCCTGCCCTACCCTGAACACTGGGGTGGCCATTAGAGAAGGTCTCACGCCGCTTTCTCCTCAAGTGCCATTTTGTCTGTGAGCACCAGGCGCATTGCGGCGAGCTCATACAGAAATCCTCTACGGGAAGTTCACCGACCGTGCACGTACTCGCTGCACTAATTTCCTAATCAATTAAAGGACAACAAATCAAGATACGTGCAGGGAAATGACACGATGGCATTTCGCCAGGCCTGCAAACAACGCCCGTACGAGGCTGAGGCCCCCGCCCGGTTTCGGGAAGCCCTTCAGAAACCGGCGCCCCGGCAGCCTCCGGCCCCGCGCCCCCGGCACGCACCATAGACGCGAGTC